TTGTATTTTACGTAGAAACAAAACCTTGTTTACACTTTGTTTTATACTTGCGAACACTTGAATAAAGGAATTTGCTTTCATTTTGTTGAAGTAATTACCATCTCTACTATCTGGAGAGTCCATAAAACGTGGCAAAACTGTACTATTTGGAGTCTGGTATGCCGGTGTCCGATGGACACACCTTAACCTTTTACGTTATGAAATCGGGTTAACCGGAGTAGGGTTAATCGGAATGTAGTGCCTAAAGAAAAATTTGATCCGGAGGCATGGAAACGTTGGGAATTGTCTCAAAACAAAGAAAATAATATTGAAATTGATGAGGTTAACCACAATCCCGAAAACCAAAATAATCGTCTTTCATTTGAAGATATATTATTAGAAACCGTTAAACAAAGACCTTTATCCGCCACAAATCAAAAGAGGAAAAGAATTGCCCAAGGCGCTGAAGTTATTACTGCCACAGAGGTAAGTGAAAGGATTGAGAATGAAACCCAAAAGAAATTAAAACAGAAGTGTAAGAAAACCCAACCTTCACCAAAGAAAAAAGTCAAAACCAAAAAGTACAGCACAGAGTAGTTATATAGGGCCGATCCTAACGCAAAAAGTCACCAGAAAAGTTACTAAAAAGGTAGTAATGCCGATCCTAATGCAAAAAGTCACCAGAAAAGTTACTAGGATCAATTCTAACGCAAAAAGTCACCAGAAAAGTTACTAGGCTTGATCTTAACGCAAAAAAGTCCCTAGAAAGCCGATCCTAACGCAAACAGTTACCGCAAAAGTTACCTACTAAAAAAAGTAGTAATGCCGATCCTAATGCAAAAAGTCACCAGAAACGTTACTAAAAAGTAGTAATGCTGATCTTAATGCAAAAAGGCACCAGAACAGTTACTAAAACGTTAGTAATGCCAATCCTAGTGCAAAAGTCACCAGAAAAGTTACTTACAAAGTAGTGGGGGTGGCACTGGGATTATATAAGTGTACAATTACCAGCAAAAGGTAGATAAAAAATTTAACATGTCGTGGATAGCATATGCCGAGAAATCGTGGGTTAAAGCCTCTGACTTTGAAACGGCAGTTCAACGCCTTAGACAGCAGTTCTCGGCATTAATATTCGATGCCGAACATGAAGCTGTATATGGAAACGGCGAATATAGTGAACAAGAGTGTCATGATATTGCGAAAAGGTATGAGGTGGGTGAGAAGTTGTGTGATGAGTATTTAAAGTATGAGATATGTGACGCGTGTCTTATGCGAAAATTGAAGGATGCTAAATTGGAGGAATTTAGCAGCCAGCTAATGGAATGGATAAAAACTGATGACTCTTCATTCTCCTCCTCATCCTGCGATGAAAATGAAGAAAGTCAAATTTGCTGAGTCTCAGAACAAGACATATGTAATGGTAGCATGGCATTTCGCTTATTGGGAGGCCAGGAAAGGTCCATGGGAAACTGTAGCACTCGATAGAGTTCGTTTCCAGCGGAAGATCGAGCACATGCATGCAATCCTATCTCCTGTATTGGAAGTGAATCATCGTACGAAAGTCTATCGGTGCAGATTTCAAGGTCACCAGTTGGAAATATAAGGTACAGCAGCAAAAGTGCGTTCAATCAGTCTGATAGTGTTATTGAAACAGTTAACATGGATCTTAACACATTAAACAACAGAACATTCTGCAAGGCATTCAAAAATGTGAAAGATATGGAAGTAGGAGAAAAATTTAAAATTCTTAACATCGATACCATAAATACAAAATATGGTGATAGAATAGTGTTAGAAACCGAAAATTTCAAATGCGTGCTGCCATTACGATTTTATGAATACTTCAAACAAGATGATCGACTCAACCTTTTCAAGGAGTCTTTAACAAATAAGGATGTGTTTGTTACAAGCACCGGAATGGCGGGAAAGACCACTAATTTAAAATTTATGTAAATAACTAAGTAAATATGATTGTAAATAAATATGATATACATAAGAGTGTCTTTCATTTCTAAATAAAATGGACGTGTTTCATCAACACTGGTTCAGTCGTGCGATTGTCGCAGTGTGGTCCACTCTCACGAATCGATTAAAAAATCTATACATGTCTGCTAAAAATAGCTGCAATAGCAACTATTTCTCATGCACGTGTTGGTGTTGTAATGATAACGGAGATAGTTCTACACCTTCACCCCCAGTTGAAACAATGCACAGCAAAGCTATTGAAGAACGTTTAATTGATTGTACTGTGTACACTCTTTTCGACAGTCAAAATAATTCAAAATACTTAGAAATTGGTTATAGTACACACCTTCACCTTTCGCCAATTTTACGGATAGTGTGCGGGAACGTTTTATTAATGGAAAGAAAAGATTGGGAGACGCTTCTAAAGTGTCAAACTTACCTTGAAATGAAGTTTTTGAGATCACAAGAGATTGAAAGATCGATTGATTGGTCAAATGTTAAGGAAGATGAAGATATTGAGTATGAACAAAATTGGGAATCGCTTAATAGCAAAATCAAGATTTGTTATCACTGGGAGTCCGTAAAGGATAACGAGAAAATATTAAAGAGTGTAACAGTACAATGTGGTAATTGGTACTGCACGATGAATAAGAACGATATTGAAGAATTGTTTAATTTGAAGGATATAATCAACTATCGACTGGAGCTATTGGAATCATACGAGCTGCCCAGTTTCTATCAAAATATTATCGAGCAGGTGAATAACTACCGCTACTTTCGTAAAATGGAGTTTGGTGACGATAATCCCGATGATGATAATATCTACCGTGATATTGAAGACGTACTAAATTATAAGTGTAATGTAAATTCTCACAATACAGTTTGTATAATGGAAATTTTATACCATCGACCAACTTATTTAATGTATCACATATATCAACCTCAATAAAAACGTTTATGCATAATTAAAAAATTTTCATTTGATTTGATGAGTGGTTTCCTATAAATATCCAAACTCACCACTGCGTACCGACAATGCTCATTAGGAAGCGTAAGAGTACAGGTGGGAGCGGCTTGGTTAATACTCTTATAAACAAACTTCCAATTGAGCTACATATTCCTGGATATCAGTACTGCGGACCTGGTACTAAATTAAATAAAAGATTAAAACGAGGTGATCCGGGCATAAACCCGCTGGATATTCAGTGCAAAGAGCACGATATCAGCTACAGGGATAACCAAAACTTAGAAAGTCGACATCAGGCAGACCGCGTTTTAGAGCGCAAAGCTTGGGAACGCCTAAAATCATCTAACGCAAAGCTAGAGGAACGAGCAGCGGCTCTTGCAGTCGGCACCATCATGAAGGTGAAACGAAAGTTGGGGATGGGAGTTAAGGGGAAGAAGGCGAAAAGTAGTTTATTAAATTTGCGTAGAACTATTGCTAAGAAAATGAGGAAAAGTGGAAATACCGCGGACATAATAAAATCAGCTGCTACGGCAGCTAATTTGGCTGTTAGGAGATTAGGGGGAAGACGAAATGTGAGCGTACCCAGAATTATTCCCATACCAAAACAGGGCGGGTTTTTACCATTTCTGATACCCCTATTCGCAGGCCTTTCAGCAGTCGGGGCATTGGCAGGTGGCGCAGCAGGCATTGCTAAAGCAGTTAATGCATCGCGTGATGCACGTAAAATGCTGGATGAAACTTCGCGTCATAACCGCACGATGGAATCGATCGCTATTGGAAATAAAAGTGGTGGCGCGATGTACTTGAAGCCATACAAATCTGGAGGAAGTTTAGCGTTACATTTGAAAAAAAAAAAATTAAAAAATTGCCAAACCGACCGTTGACAGATGTAGATTTACGTAAACATGCAGCGGGTGTACCATTCTTTAGGGATGTGTTTATGCGTGATAATATGCCTATAACGTCATGGAAAAATGAGGCCGGTGTTATTAATTTAGATAGCAAAAGAGGGCCAGGCACTCATTGGGTCTCATATAAGAAACGTGGTGGACGGGTTTGGTACTATGATAGCTTCGGTAATATTCCACCGCCACGAGAAGTGATCAAATATTTTAGCAATTGTAAAATATACTATAATTACACGCAAGAGCAAGAATTCGGGACAACGAATTGCGGGCATCTATGTTTAAAGTTTCTGTATAAATAACACGTGCGACTATTTAGTGACCTTAGTCATGTCGATCACATTCAGCATAGAGGGTATTGGAAATATAGCCAGTCATGATTTCTATCCACCCATCGAACTTCCTTCGGGAAGAACATATGTAATCGGGGTAGTAGGTTTCTATGGCTGTAATAGCATAAGAAATATCCACTATGGAAACGACAAATTTTATTATAGGAAAGAGGGTGACATCGTCTCGCACGAAATCATAATTCCGCACGGCGCATACGAGTTGGACGAGCTAAGCGCGTATATAAAAGCTAACATACCCACTCGTCGCTTTAGTTTACGTGCCAATAACAATACGCTCAAGTGTGAACTTAGTTGCGAATTTGCTATAGATTTCACTCCAAGAGACTGCATAGGGCGCATGCTCGGTTTCGAATCGAAGATATTGGAAGCCAACGTTATACATAAATCAGCTTTAGATATACAAATAATTAAGCATACTAATATTCACATAGAGTGCAATCTCATTACGGGATCCTATCGTAACGGAAATCCTGCTAAAGTCCTTTATGAAATAGACGTCTCCGTTCCACCAGGTTACCGCTTAGACAAAATTCCAAACAATACTCAATATCTGGAAGTAAATATCAGCAGAATTAGCAACATAACCATAAAGTTGACGAATCAAAAAGGTGAACCAATAGATTTCGGGGACAGTGAGCCATTTACAGTTCGATTAGAGTTAAAAGAATATGGGGTTACGTATTAATCAAGGCCCACCGCCATCCTTCCTTAGCAGCACTATAAATAAACGATGTAAGCGTAAATCCAGCTATTCTACAGCGAGTCGAGACCAGGACACGTTAACCCCAACAGAAAAATACTTCCTGGAATCCATTGGTTTGAAAGTGCAAAATGGCAGTGGCGGCAGACTCGTTAAACATCTTTCAAAACGTACACTTTGACGAAACTATAATCAAGTCAGATGTCCATACTTATCTTCCGTACGGAGGGTCTTCGAACTATGGGCTTTCCAGTGAAATCCGTATATTAATTCAAAATCAAGACCTGGTGACTGCCACATACGACAGCTTTCTATACATAGAAGGAAAAATTGAATGGAATCAGCCTCAAGAAGAGGGTGCGATCGCAAAGACATGCAACCTAACGAACAATTTTGCGGCATTTCTTTTCGAAGAAATACGCTACGAGTTGGGGGGTCAGAAAGTAGATGTATGTAGGAATCCGGGTATTACATCCTCACTCAAGGGATACGTATCGTATACAGCTACTGAAAGCAAAGGTCTCAAACATTTGGGATGGTCGCCCATGGATGAGTCCCTTCAAGTAGACTACGTCAAGAGCAACAAGGAGAAGCATTTCACCGTTTGCATTCCGTTAAAGCACATATTTGGAAGTATGGAAGACTATCGTCAAGTTATCGTAAACATGCGCCAAGAATTGGTACTGATTCGTGCTAGAAGCGATGCCGATTGTTACATGGGCACAGCGAACGATGCAACAATAACATTAACAAAAATTCAATGGAAAGTTCCTCACGTGACAGTTAGCGACAGTGCCAAAATTGGGCTATATGAGCGCATTAACAAGGATGCAATAATTACAATGCCGTTTCGTCAATGGGAACTGTACGAATTGCCCGCTTTGAAACAGGCACAGTCGGATATATGGCCAATCAAAACGTCAACCCAATTAGAGAAACCTCGATGGGTAATCGTAGCATTTCAACGTAGTGGAAAAAGGTTTTCGCATGAGGCGAGAGCGACCAATTTCGATAACGTCAATATCCGCAATCTAAAGCTTCATCTCAATTCTGAAAGTTATCCGTACGAAGCGATGCATTTAGATTTTAGTGCCAACAAATATATAACCGCATATCAAAACTACGTAAACTTTCGTAGAGATTATTACATCAAGGACGAGCAAGACGCTTTGTTTGATTATTCTTATTTTAAAAGTTGTCCAATCTTTGTAATGGATTGTTCAAAACAAAACGAATCTCTGAAGCATTCAACGGTAGATGTTAGATTGGAAATGGAATCGATGGAGGCCTTCGAGGCGGGAACCGTTGCTTATTGTCTGATCTTGCACGACGCCCTAGTTCAATACAATCCTTTGACTGGAGAAGTGAAGAAACTATAGTTCATATTTTTTGAAAATGTATTTTCTAGTATAAATAAAATGTATTGACCAAAATGTGCCTAGTTTAATTTTAACCATCAAAAATGAAGGTAGTGGTGCACGAGCAAAAACTTCCCATTCAAAATCTTGATACTTTTATAACACCAAATGTGGGGTCTAAAAGACATGGAGAGTTACTTCCAAACAGCGTAAGATGTCTAATTTGTGGACCGTCGAATTGCGGCAAAACGAATACGATGCTGAGTCTACTAACTGAATCTAATGGTCTACGCTTCAAAAATGTGTATGTCTATTCCAAATCACTAAATCAGGATAAGTATAGGCTCTTGGGAGAAATTCTGAGTCCTATGAAGGACATAGGTTTCTTCACCTTCAGCGATAACACAGATATTATGGAGCCCAGCGTTGCAAAACCTAATTCAGTTTTTATTTTTGATGACATTGCTTGTGAAAAACAGGATCACATTAGAGCATACTTTTCAATGGGCAGACATAACGCTATCGATTGCTTCTACTTAGGCCAAACGTACTCTAAAATTCCCAAACAACTTATACGAGACAACGCCAACTTAATTGTTCTGTTCGAACAGGACGATTTGAATTTGCGACACATTTACGAAGACCATGTCACCCCCCTAATAAGTATGCAGCTGTTTCGAGAGATGTGTTCTGAAAGCTGGCAGACCCCATATGGGTTTATGGTGATTAATAAGGATGCCGAAGTACGAAACGGTCGTTTTAGGAAAGGTTTCGATCATTATATAATACCGTAAACATTTATGTATGGATCAGTTGCAAATAGACAGCTAACAGCTAACAGCTTTCACATAAACGGATTATTAATAAACAGGTCTGTTTACTTATTTACCTGTTCGCCTGTTTACCTGTTCGCCTGTTTACCTGTTCGTCTGTTTAACTGTTCGTCTGTTTATCTGTTCGTCTGTTTACCTGTTCGTCGGTTTACCTGTTCGTCTGTTTACCTATTCGTCTGTTTACCTAGGTTGGTCTATTTACCTGTTCCCCTGTTTTTATTGTCTGTGTACCTATTCTATCCATTTGACAATCCGCATCATGGATAACAAGGAGATGGCATTGAAACGACGAATAATTCAAGCCCGTAAAGCGATACAACAAAAGTATAATCGTCTTAAGGAGGATCGGTTTAGTAGAGAACTAGAATTTGTGCAAACCTACAAGCCCCTAATCCAACCACTATCTCAGATCGTAAAGAAAATCGAACCGCCATCGATGCAGATGGTAACGAAAAAGGAGGAGCCGGAGGACGAAGTATTTACGAACGCTTCACCTCCCAAACGTCAATCTTCTGCAAAAGGCAAGTCATCACCACAACGTACGACCCCTGCGATACCTTATTACTTGCGAGTGAGACGAAGGCCCTCTTCCCTTACCGAGATCAGTCCGCTGGCTAGACTTCCCTACTTTCAAAAATATCCTCCAACTGATATTAGTCCTATGGTTAGGCCATTTCATCTCACGGCTACTCCATCATTGAGACAGCCGCCATCATTTCTACAGAGTACAGTGATAGGAGAGCATCAACCGGAGGAAGAAGAAGAAGAGCCTCCTATCGCATCATCATCATCTGCTTTATTACTTGATATGCAAGGTTCGCGAGACTTTTTGGAACAATACAAACACCTACCACGTATATACGTTGAGCGCATGATAAGAGATACGAGTAATGCAATTGACACCACCTTTGGAATTCATTATAATGTCGAAACGGATAAGTGGAGAATGGGCAAGACAGAGGTGACGATAGATAACGAAGATTTGGTTATTAACGGGATCCGGTACAAAGGTACTGCAGGGCTATACGAACTTATCATCATGAATGAACCGGATGAATCGCTAGTATCCAAGCAGGATAGAAGTAACTATAAGCAGATAATAATAGCAACTCATGTCGCACGGCGCAATTACGACCCCACCGAACAGATTCGTGGCAATAAAAGCAAAAAGTATACGCTTATAATAAAGCCTCTACTGAAGGAGGAGGAAGCGGCGAATAGGGGGCGTGCGAAATCGGGAAGCGGCATTACTCTATTCAAGGAACTCGACCGACCGATCGAATACAAATACTGGAATAGCGTGCATGAATTGATTAGGGAGTTAGAGGTTTTATGGGGTGAAAAAATGGCAGGCAACACTGGTGTAAAAAATGATATAATATCAATTATGGAAGAGTTATATGAAGAGGGCTACATACAAAAGCCTACGCAGCGATTTTTACGTCAACTAGTATAAATACCCCATTTCCGCCTTCTTTCTTACATTCATCATGGATAAATTCGGACGTTCACATACCCATGCTCAATTTGGAAAGCTGTTGAAAACAACTTTTTCCATTACCGACGATACTATAAACGTGGAAAACAAGAGATTAAGTAATGTTGCCGATCCTATTGAACGTCAGGATGCCCTAACCTTACACCACTATCTAGCTACAAGACTAAATCTAAACGAAAACCGGCTGACCAATGTGGCTGATCCATTAGATGATAGCGATGCTATAAATAAAGGCTACTTAAGGTTTTATATACAAATCGTTAAAGCATCTTTAGACGGTCTTCGCAATTTTGTGGAACATTTAGAGAAAGATTTGAACGCTGTCAAAGAAAGCTTGAGTAGATTAATAGAGAATGCAGCAAGTGGTAAATGAGTTACACAAAGCGGCACGTAAGAATTTCACACGTAGACGTACTGTTATTAAGGGTTTCGATGATCTTTGGCAGGCAGATTTAGCTGAATTTATACCTTACGCTAAAAATAATAAAGGCTACAAATACATATTGGTAGTTATTGACTGTTTTTCTAAATATCTGTGGACGAGAGTATTGAAGAATAAAACAGGCGAAGAGGTGACAAAAGCCATGCAAAGTATATTAAGAACTGCCGGACGCAGACCGAAAAATTTACAAACCGATGCAGGAAAGGAATTCTATAACAAATCATTTGATAAGTTGATGACACAGCAACATATTAATCACTACTCTACGCACAGTATTAAAAAGGCTGCAATGGCCGAAAGAGTTATTAGAACTATCAAGGGTCAACTTTACAAAAATTTTAGCCTACGTGGAAAGTATGTATGGATCGATGTAATTGAATCAATCACAAGCGACTATAATAAGCGTAAACATCGAACGACTGGGATGAAACCGGTTGAAGTGAAGGCCAACACACATTTAACTGCCTATAACCACATAAAGCTGTTCAATAGGAAATGTCGGTTTAATGTTGGCGATGTAGTTCGAATCAGCAAATTCAAGAGTCATTTTTCTAAGGGCTACACACCTAATTGGTCTAGTGAACTTTTTAAAATAGTGAAAATACGAATAACAAACCCAGTAACATATCTGTTAGAAGACATGAAAGGAAAACCGATCCTAGGTGGATTTTATGAACAAGAATTGCAGAAAGCCAAGCATTCAGATGTATATTTGATAGAAAAGGTATTGCGGCGTAAGAAAAACAAAGTATACGTCAAATGGTGGGGAATGGATGAAAAATCGTGGATTAATCAAGAAGACATAATTTTATAAGCTTTAGTTTTTTTAATTTGTAATATATATATATATATTGTGAATAAAACTCAGTAAATCCATACATGTTTTTATTTTATTTTTTTGTCTACCATACAAAGGTTTTGATTGGATTCGGTTTTGAATTTTTACTCCACATTCTGTTAAGTACCAATAAACTCTTTTTATAGTCACTTAGTTGCGTCGAGGGCCAAAATGCGTTGTCCGGTCCACAAGTCCACCCTAGGGACGCATTTGGATCTGCGTCTCCTTTACGGATATTTTCCAGCACCCAGTCGTACACTGCTTTATGTCGAGTGCATGCGAGCGGCCTGAATGAGTATTGTATGTTTCGCTCGGTACATATTTCCCACAAAATTTCTAGGGCCTTACAATTAGCATATTCTATACTAATACATATTGCATCATCCATTATATACAAAAGATCCTTATAGTTATTTAAAATACTATCTACATTGAATTGAGAAAGTCTAGCTAAATCATAAATATACATTTTAAGTCCTAAAGGTAATTCAGAAGTCAGTCTATCGATCTGATCACTAGTAACACAGCCACTTATATTTAGGATTCGACATTTATTTACAAAATGTTTAATGGTATAGTCAATTTCTTCCTTCTTATCAACTAGTAGTTTAATTTTATTCGAGCACACATTTGGTGATTTTGCGCACCAGTTGAAGCACTCGTCCGGTATCACAATTTTTTGCAGAGTCTGATTAATCACCTCATAATTTTCAGTGGACCAGACGTCCATAAGGGCTCTTTTTAAATGTTTTTTGTAAATGTGATGAGAAGCAAGAAATACTTCTTGCTCCAATTGGATTGTTTTATCCGAACGAATGCTGCAACTGATGCTCATAATCTGCAAAAAGAAATTAAATGAAAAGATGTTTCGATGCTGTGGAATATGAAAATTAAGTTGAATGGTATCCCCAAGGGCGAGTGTTGATGCAGTCTAAACTTATGACACGTTTGTCATCATAAGGGCTCAAAACTACCTTATCCTGCTTGATCGTAAATACGCAATGCTTTTGTGATTTAATAAGATGCTGATTCCTTTTTACAATCGATTCATTAAACAAGCAATCTTTATAATCTTCTAACGTTACTTCCCTAATGCTAGCCGCTGTGGAACCCTTAGACTTTTTAACTATTTGATCATCTACTTGGTATACATACATTTTTGCTCGGAGTCCTACAAACTCTAGCATTATTCGTCCATTGTTTTCGTCCTTCATCAGGCCTGGAATTTTTTTATTAACGGGTGGTATTGCAAATATGTTATTCGGATTATAGGCGGAGGTGTCAAATCTATCAAGATTCTCCTTTATCGAATGATAGATGTCGGGAACCGCAAACGAGTAAATGAGGCTATCGGTATCAGTATATAACAGCTTCGCACAATTTTTGAATTTCGGTAAAACAAAATCATAA